GTCTGCTGTTTTTTCAGTGATCCGTGAATGAGGGGAACTGAGAAATCAACGATCTCCTACACAGCAAAAGTCGTAAGATGGCGTCTCTTTTCTGTTGATCTGCATAGCAAACCTGAACGCAAGGTGTTGCGATGAAGTGGCCTTGCAGTCACCCGTCCTGGGCCTCCTGTCTGCAGCATAAGGTGAACGTATCTTCCGAGCACGTACCGTCAGCCTCAAGTGCACCTGCGCATGCGCAACCCGAGGAGACATCCGCTAGCATGTGGCGACCGTTGCCATCATACATTTATCGTAATGGCGGGCGGATTGCATTGTGAAAGCCTACCACCTGACTACACAAGAACTCCGTGGAGTACAGCTCTTCTTGAGAACTCATAATTAATATTTATTTTGAACAGGCTGTAAGGAATATTAATCGGAGTGGAATGGTTCACGATACGGTTAGAAGGCTGGTTTTGTTTCCATAACGATAAACCAGTCTGTCTCGTTCCTCTGCGCGCTACTTCCATCGGACAAACACAGCTGCGCACAACTGTAATTCTGGACGCAAACAAATTAGTCTACGCGCACAACTGTCCAAAGCCCGGTTATCAAAACGATCGACCGCTGATTTAAGAATGGCATCGTGGGATTCTGTCTGTGCACCCAATTCGAATTTAGGGAAATTGTACCAGGGCTCAATCCCTTTAAGAGTTGCTCAGTTTTATTACTTAGGTACTGAGTGTCACAAATAATCAATTCAACCGATCCTTTAATACATCAACATCGCTAGAATCGCACCACTTACTGATTAATTCTGACTCTGAAACAAGAAACAGGCTACAGGCGAACCCCAGCGAGGAGCATGAAGACTGGCTGTAGGATGCTGCAGCCTGTAGTCTGGTACAGTGTCCTTCAAAATATTTTCACCAGCGGCACCCAACAAAATTTCGCCCCACGAAACTATACATGACCATAAATACGTAAAATCACCCCCTTTAAGTGTGGAGACACGTAGAAACAAAACATAACACACGTGCTATTACAAATTCTGATTACAAAACATTACGAGGTTACATTTTTCTTACTACAACGCGCGAATGTACAATGTTATAAAAATGGTTGCGGAACACTGGTCTAGTGGACAATGATCGACATTTTAAGGCACTTACTGCCTTCATCATCGGGTGATAATTCCACTCATATAACGCTCCTCTGAAACGTTGGTCAACAACCCACAAGACATCAGTCTTCACTCAGAAAACAGTGTTTAAAACCGAAGAGG